AGAGTTAATGTTCTGAGAAGATGTCTTCTCTTGTACTTTCCGTTTCTTTGTCTTTGTCCTTTAGTTTCCAATCCCATTAAAGGTCCTTTTCCATCACAGTCACTTAATTTTAGCTGCTGTCTCACTCGAGACCATGCTGCTAACTGTTGGTGTTCTTGAAGAGGCCCAGATACTCATTGTTTGTTAGGGTCAGTCTCTTGAGAACATTCTGTCTCTAAAAGGCACAACATTAGCTGGAGAGATAGCGTAGCGGTTTACGCATTAGGCTCTACAGCGTGAGTTCATAGGTTCGAGTCCCAGGTAAAAGGCACAAAATTGAGGACTTTTGTTTCTGACCAGGCTTTTTCTGTCAACATGGTAGCAGTAGTGATTGTTACTCTCAGATTCACTTTTGGTGCCATGAGACAAAACTAAAGTCTGAAATAGAGTTTATGAAGGTCACCAATTGAGAGTAGAAAAAATATGTAAGTAGGGAAAAGCATTTCTCAAGTTGAATTTTGAAAAGAACATCAGAATTCTAACCTTTTCTCTCCACTCCATTCAGTGGCTGTTAACCTACATTGCTTTCAAGCGAACACGCTGAACCTCTGCAGGGCTGCCTGGGCTAATCTGGTCAAAGTAAGGAACTCAAAGTGTGGTCCTTTTTGCTGCAGTATCATTATCACCAAGAAACTCCTTAGAAATGCAAATATTATGCCTCCACTCCCAGCCCATGGAATCAGAAAATCAGGGTGTGGAGCCCAAGAATTTTTTTAAACAGGCCTTCTGAGTGATTTCAAAACATACCAAAATTTCAGAATTAGGTTTAGTGCCACACCTGTGCTTGGATCCTTGTTGGGTTATTTGCAAATTACTGGGCTAGATAATTTACCTTCCATTTCTCTATTTTATAAAAATAGAATTATTATTGCCTTTCGGTGTCATGATGGGCAGTTAAGGTGATTTGTATAAATAATTGCCCCTAAGTACTTGGTAAACAGTGACTGATGGTATTTGTAACTGTCGCTTGAAAGGCCTTGATGAGAGACCACAAAAAGATAAAGAAAAAGAAGTTGGGCCTAGTCCTAAAGGATTTGCAATCAAGGAGAGATGACACATATAAATGATTATCAGATTACAAAAATGGTAACCTTTCTCATAAAGCTCAAACCAAAAATGGTTTCTCTTTTTTTCCCCCCTCTACCAATTACAGATGTGATAGTTGAAAACAGAAATAGTGATGTGCCCAGAGTCACAGGGTTGACATAACTTTTACTTGGAAACTATTGAGTTGTGTGTTTAGTTATGTGTTAAAGAGATTGAAGAAGCCAAAAGTAGTGCTAGAGAGTGCCTTTCTTTTGGGGCCTTTTGTTTTGCATAGATCTCATACTTTAAAAAAGCTCAGGAGATATACCCAAAAGTTGGTGCTCTTTTTTTTATTTTAAAGAAAAGAAAAATGAAAAATAAAAGTAGTGGTATAAAATTTCGAAACAAGAGTATAGGGGAGCAACAATGTTCAGACATTGTGCATTGTTATCTTCAAATACAAGATACAGGACTTAGTGCTCTTGAGTTGCTAAGTAATTCATTAATCACGCCATTGTAGTTCTTTATTGGCAGGTGGGTAGATAAATATAGGGACCTTTGAATTTTTTAAAAAATGACCAGGTTTGGTGTGTGCTTCGGTAACGTTAATGAAAACAGTGTCATGTGGGTGCTTGATCATAAAAGACAGTGATTGGCAGAAGTGTCGTGGATTTTGGAAAAATCTCATTTGATACGTCAAAATCTTGAAAGGACAGTGCTTTCAGGAAGAACAAGTAAGTACACACTGTCCCCATCAGTGCCAAAACACAACACTTCATATTTTCTATGTTGGATGTAATAGAGTAGGACTGAGATTTATTTCAGTTTTGTTTGTGTCAGTTAAATTGAATGAAAATATAAAAAACTATAAATTTAACTCACATGATGTTTGTCAGGTTTTCTGTCACTGTTAATATTTGGCATTAATGAGTCTATCTGTAAATTCTTCTCTTAAAGCAGATACCTTCTGTGTAAGAAAATTTTTTTGGTTGTTTTTTCACCATTTTCTCTAATAGAGAAAAATCTTAGGAAGAAATGTGCAAGCCTGTTAAAGTATACCTGATATCACAGTATATAAACAATTATTATTCATAGCTTTCACTTTATATCATGAACATTTATTTTTCCTGTGTCATTTACTCACTTTGCACACTTAAACCATTTGATATTTGCTCAGCTGTAAATTAATCACTTCAAGAAAAAGATCTGACAGTATTTGTAACGAATAATAAAATTCCAGCTACCAAATAAAAAGTGAAAATTGGAATTATTGAGAATTTGTGTTCCTAATCTTATCCTTGAAAGCTTTCCAGTACTGAAAAATGTTTCTCCTAATGGTGCTAATATAGATTTTAAAACTTATTTTTAACTTACATGAAATCATAAAAATTATGTCTATTAATTTGGTACTGTGTGATGTTTCAGTGCCATATTTTGATAGTAATATGAATGAATGATTTTCAACACATTGTGAAGAAATATATCAGAATTTGGAAGATCTGTATAACAAAGTGAAACAGA